GTAATATATATAAAATAGAATTAGAATTAACTAAATAAATAAAAATTAATTAATAAGAAATAAATTAATAATAATAACAAAAAAGAAATAATAAATGCTAAATTAATTACAAATAAATAACAATAATAAAAAAAGAAAAAATAAAAAAATAATATATGCTAAATTAAAAAATTCATTATAATTATCAAACTGTGAGTCTCGCAGTTTCTTATAGTTAAATAATAAAAATAGCAAATTACCCATTTTAAAATGTATTACTTTAAATCTAAAAGGTTATAAAAAAATATAAGTGCTATTTATATAACTTTCAAGTTCTAATAAAGCTTTAAACTTGAAGTTATATAAATTAACTTTATTATGATAATAAAGTTATCTAATATATTTAACAATATAGAACAAAGTTAAATTGTTATGATAACTAAGTTATCTAAACTAATGATGTGAACTGGTTAGGCCATAATCGGGTAACTGAACCGAACTGAAAAAAATCAGGTAACCGGTTAAGCAAATGATTAACCGGTTAACTCGGTTATTCGGTTGACCTGATATAATCAGCTAACCCAATATAATCAGTTGACCTGATATAATTGGTTGACCCAATATAATTAGTTGACTCGATATAATTGGCTAACCTGATATAATCGGCTAACCCAATATAATCGGTTGACCCAATATAATTGGTTGACCCGATATAATCGGTTGACCTGATATAATCAGTTGACCTGATATAATCGCTTGACCGAAATAATTGGTTGACATCAATTTTTGTGGCTTAGATATGTAAAGATTTTTTTTTATTTTTTCAATTTGTGAATAAAAGGGTGATCATGATCTATATTTCTATATTGTAGATCTTTATATTAGAAGCTTTGGGTTTAATCATTCTAAAAAAAATTTTTACTGAGATTTATATTTCAAAACTCCTTTTTTGTTTAAAATGATAAGTATACATTTATTTAGAAGTCAACTAAGAAATGTTTCTCATGCAATTTTACTCTAAACCCCCTCCTAACCCAAACCCTAACCTAGTTACATTTTTTTTTTATACATATAAGAGTTAGGAAACATATTAATGAAGTTATCATTTCTTTTGAGAAATAGTATTCGAGAGACTAATTTGGGTTTTAAATTTGAACGTCGAGGGGTAATGTGATTTCCAGCATCAGAAAAAATGTGCTCGCTGGGGGCAAAAGTAGCGAGAACACTGAGATATTTTCTGGCTAGTTTTGAAAGAGTTGGAAATTGAGATTGTTGCTGTCACCACCATAAGAGGGGATCTTTTTCAGAAAAAACTAATGGTGTTTGCCTTAAGTCAAGATAAGAATCCAATTTATCTGTAAATTCATCTGATCTTTGAGCACTACCAAATATAAGCTTCTTAAACATATTATTAGGGGAGAGGTTTTTTGAGCTAGATGGAGTAATGTTATTATTTGATGTTGGTGATTATATATTCATTAGTTGGTGAAGTTGAAATCTACATTCATTAATGGTATTATTACGAGTTTCTGCATTAGCAAAAGACATTTCTTTCAGCCGGGGGTCTAAAAATGTTGTGAGAAGGAAAATTTGCAATGCGTGATTCTAATATTCAAAAAGTGAGTTATATATGATATTTGTTATATCTTTTACAATTAATTCAGTGTCATTTTCAGTCTGATTTTCTTGAATTTCAAAGGATATGTCGCTTTCATTTTCATCATCTGACGACTCAGACTCTGAATCAAAATTAGATGTTTCTTGGAGAACTAAAGTAATTAATATTAAATGTACAGTACTCAATAAGTATTTATTGGGTAAAATTAAAAAAAATTGGTATATCAAATTGGTTTTTGGTTTTTTATCTTTTTCTAATTTTTTTTTTTTCTTAAATGCATTTCATAATTTTAACTACTGATATTAAAATTTTATACCTTCATTATTATAGTCATATTCATCAGGATCTATATTTTTAGCATAATGAGCTTTCATTGCCTCCATTACTGGATGAATATACACTATAGTAGGATATTGCCCAGCACTAAAATATTCGGTAGCACTGTTGAAAGGTTCTAATATCTCAATTAACTTTTTAACAAGATCCCACTCATTATCTTGCAGCATCAATTTACTTAATTTTTGACCATCTTTTTTTGCATCTGGATTATCTTCAACAGGTAACGTTACTGAAAGCTGTCTGATTGCAGAGCGCAGTTCAATTAACCTTTTCCATGATCGAAATTTAGAATTTCAATGGGTTGGTATATCTTTAATAATTTGTAATGTAGGTATGAACTTATCAATAATTAATTTATCATCGTCTATTATTTCATTATCCTCCTCATCTTTGAAATCAATATCACTTCCAGATTCATCGAATAAAATTGGAATATTATAAGATATTTCTTTCTGTTTATTTTTTTGTGTTTCAATTTGTGCAGTGTCTAATCTCTGACTTTGTTTAGGTGAATCAAAAAATTTGACCAAATTTTGTATGCGGATAATTTGTTGACACTTTGCCTTAAACGCACGATTAATTGATAATTGTAAGGTATGGGCCGTGTATGGCAATCTTTCTACACCCTCCCAATTTCTTATAGCCCTTACAATGTTACTATCATTATCAGTAACTACACAAAGAATTTTATTTTGCAAATTAAATTCTTGAACTTTACTAATAAGAAATTCTCTAATAGAGCAACCAGTGTGGGGGTACGGCATTGACTCTAAGCAAAGTAGGATTTCGTTTAATTCAAACTTGTTGCTTAACCAATGAGCTGTTATTCCAATGTATCTTGTTTTATTTCTTGCTGTCCAAAGGTCAGTTGTTAGAGAAATTGTTTCACTACTTTGTGCTAAAAGATCATTGATTTGGTTCTTTGCAGTTACATTTGCAATGGCTATTTCTTTTTTTAATGTCTTATAAGAAGGCCAACGAAAGGCAGGGTCTACTTGCAACATAAATCTATAAAACCCTTTCCTGGCAATAACTTCAAATGCTCGATTGTCAATCACAAGCCATTCTGCAACACCACAATAAATAATAAGCTTTTTAACTCCTTTGTGAGGGACGACACGCTGTAGCATACTGGTGATAGTTTGCTGGGAACCTTTTGTATTACTCTAAAATCAATGACCAAATTTAATGAATATATTTTTTATTAGTTAATTGTCATCAAGGGAAAACTCATATTCTGGCTTTCAATTATGTTTTGTGTCTAAAACTTTGATCAAAGTTTTAGACAAACTCAAAATAAAAATATGAAGTTGATTATTTACCAGGTTTTTTTGAAATTCCACTATATCATGTTCATCTGCAAGACGTAAATTCATGTTGGTTGTTGACCATCCGGAAAGATATTTAAATCTTTTTGCGCATTTTTTTTCTTTTCCATCTATTTTAATTATAACATCGCATACTGATTATTCTCCTTCTATTTTAAAATATTTCCAGCATAGCACAACTTGTCTAGTTGCCTTACGACGACGCTTGTGGCTTTTTGAAGTGGATTGAGAACCTTTGGTCTGGGGATCTTCTTCTAACATGTCATCAACTTCAAATGAATTTTTAGCTTGTGAAGCTTCTCCAGATTCAATACCCGACATTGTTATATCTTTAAATTAAGGTATATCTTTAGGAATAAAATTATCAAGTGAAAAAAAAGCATGAAGGAATTTTAAATTTCAATTTATAGCTATTTTGTTCTGATTTATTGATTATATTGTCTTTGATATTAAATCAGGTCTATAGCTTATTTAGAATATCAATATCGTATTGAACTCTGATTTAGGTGCTGTACATATGTATACACTGAAATGCTCTTTTTTTTCAAAAAGATATTTATATTTGAAAAGAGACCACCTATCAGACAATGATATTGGCATTTAAAGATTGTGTTCTTTGTCTTCGCCTGGTGTAAGTATTGTAACAATTAAAACAATAAGTTCCAGTTTTGGATTGCGGCTTAAATTTATTTACCCAAGTTATTTGTTTTTCAGCTATAGGCTTATAATTATTAAATAGAAACTTTTAAAATGGGTCCTTTGTGGACATGTACAGTTAGTATACTTTCAAAATCCCAAAAGTATAATATTTTGAAAGAATAACCCTGAAAGATATGAAAGTTGAGATCACATAATTATGGAACTCAAATACTGTATTTGTGTAAATAACGCCCATGGGCATTATTTCGAGACACGAGCTTGAGGTGAGCTATTAACCGAATGTAAATCATAATTCTTTACTAAAAATTTTTGGTTAAATTAATTATTAGGCC